GTGGCCAGCAGCGCTGTGGGCCAAGTCTGTTGGTGTTCAACTTCATTCAAAATATGTGTGAGATCCTCGGGCCCCGCAAATGGCACACGCTGGAGATCTGTCGGGCCCAAACTGTCTACCCCTCTCGCCATGTTCGGGGCCTGACGCCTCAGGATGGTCTCCAGCTGGTCAGGTCGTAGGGGCTCCAGGGGCTCTTGGCGGGCACAGCATGAGACCCTCTCGAGGGCTCTGAGAATATCAGGAATCTGGTCGACTGGATCCGTCCAGGTCCGCTTCCATTACTCTTGTCTGACTGAAACTAACACTGTAGGGTCAGCTGTGGTGTCGCCTTGGTGAGTAATACCGCGTGGGAGTGGCTCTGGCGACGGTGCTTTGACGCGCCTGTGTGCTGCTCCTGGCTTCTTGGGCCACATGCGCTTGACCCAGTTCATGAACGCCTGCCTCGAACGAACCATAGACCGAGCCTGCGCTCGGTCAGCGTAAGTAAGTGTGAGCTCGTGGTACTCAATAAGTGCTGGCAATGGCGTTGTGGATAAGCTCTGGGCTGTGCACTTCCAATGCTCAATGCTGGTGCTCAAGGTCGCTTTGCCGAAGAATTCGGCGTGCTGATCAGGTGTGATGTCCGCCACGTGCCTGCCCACGAGCGTGATGCACTGGGAAAGCTGATTCATATCCTTGCCCGGTTTGGCGAGGGCCAGAATTCGGATGACCAGCGTGGAAATAACCTCCCATCATTCTGCCGTGGGGTCCTTCATGTGAGTTCTGCCGGGGGCTGGTCGCATGCGCTGCCAGCCGATGTCGTATTTCGCTGCCCTACCAGCAGCGTAGTCTCCGTCCTGAATGTCGTGGTGCTCTGGTGGCTCACTGGCGTCGACTTGGCTGATGTGGGCGACGGCATGCTCAAGGGTGGTTACCCATCGTCCGCAATGTCCATCGATCCTCCTGCGCTCTTCTGGTCTCCAAAAGGCCAGTGGTCCACCATGTAGCTGCTGGAGTGCGGTGAGAGGCCGTGGGACGGTCATGGTTGCCACTCGTGCTGCATGCTGTTGCCAAGCTGTGCTAGGTATGTGGAAGCTGACGGTGGGGCCTGTCGGAGTATCGTCGTGCTCGTGGAGGTCGTCGAAGGCGTCTCGCAGGTGCTCAGGTCTTCGCCTTTCAACGTTGCCTCTAGCTCGTCGGCTGCGTTTGCTGTTGGGATCCGCAGCCTTCGTTGGGCGTGCCGTGCGTGGTAATGGTGGTGGTAGCTGCAACGTCCTATGCCACCGCGCGCTCTTCCCATCCAATGTCCACCGCCACCGCGCAGCGGGTCTTCCAGGGGACCGCCAGGATAGGTCGAAGGGCGATACGAGCATGGAGACTCTTGGAAATGATGCCGCAATCATACATCCGCCCCGCACCTGTGTCACAGGTGGCCTGGATGGGTGGCTGGATAAGGAGGCCATTGAACTGAGCCACCCATCCTGAGTCTAGTAGTGCACTCGGTATCTGATTCTAATCTGCTATAATAACCCATGGATCTGCCGACGCCTTGGTGAAAGCTGCCATCGCCGTGAGAACTTCCATGTTATACCCTGAAAATCGCAAGCCTGGTAAAAGGTATGCAGCAATACAGACGACGTTGCCAGACTTGAGATGCCAGGTAACTGCGCTGAAAGCTTTGAACGGGTCCTGACGTCCATCCGCCGGGGCCTGGGATCTGAGTCTGTCAAACGGGGTTGTGGCCAAGTGAGTCCGCGCAAGCAGCCATTCTCATCCAGGGATACCTTGCTCAGATCGCCCTGGCGGGAATCCCTCCTTGATCGAAACATGAAATCCGTCCTTCTTGAGATCGTGCGTCCAATGAGCCTTCGTAGCTGCCGACTGGTGCGTCTCCACGAACCCCATCACTGGGTAGGCCTCAGCATGGCGCCGAACAAACTGGTGCGCTTGTGGCCCCCACTCCGTGATGTTGGCAAACAAGAACGTGGCATGCAGGTCCGATGGCTTGAGTTGAGCCTGCGACCCTACGGAGGCACCTTGTCCAGCACACGTGGTCGACAGTACCGCCTGATTAGCAGTCAGGTTACATGCTTCACCAGGGCCCCCAGGGGGCCGACCACTGGCAATTCCCTGGGCCGCGCGAAGCTGCCCTGACTCTGCGCCGACGCCAAACTGCGGGACGGCGGACCCCCAAGCGTCCTGACCTCGAGCTGCCGGTGCCTCCTGCACTGTGGGTCCTTCACTTTCCCCAGCCACTGGAGATCTATCGAAAGGCTCTGACCACTCATCTGCCACCTGTTTGAAGGGGTCCAAGTCAGGGTCATCCATGCCGTGGTTGCATCGCGAAATTGATGACGTCGGTCCCGTGCCGACTCCTCTCTCTGGGCTCTGCTGGCCTACCCGCGGCGGCATGTCTCCTCCCGCGGAACCCTGCTCAGCGTTCTCAGGAGTCTGCCTTCCAGTGAGCACTTCTGAGGTCGTCAGAGTCGCATGGGCCGTAGGCTGCGAGATCTGCGTCTCGCCCCTCCCCTCTCAAGCAGTCAGCTGGTCTCCCTGATCAGGCGCTGCAGGGGTAGGGTGTGGGGGATCAGCTGGCGAGTCCGAGCTCCTCCCCATCGCCAGTTGGTGAATTCTGGCGGCTCGTGAATCGTTCGAGCCGAGGGTATGGAGCACTCGCCCTGGTCCTTGAAATCGGAGCACTGCCCCTCCCCTCGCCAGTGGCGTGCTGGCCGCCACAGGTGAGCGTCCTGAGCTGAAGGTGTGGGGCCGCCGAGGGGGTCTCTGGAGTTGCGCCCCTCCCCTCGCCAGTGTGGATCATCTGGCGGCTCTGCTCCATCGCAGGCCGAGGGTATGGAGCCTCCTTGCCTCTTTGCGCACTCACTTCGGAATCGAAACCAATGAAAGCTGAAGAGTCGTCATGTGTAAGGCTTGAGATGTCAGCCCTGCTATTCCGAATATGAGGGCTTCTTGTTGTCGCCCCCCCCCCCCCCCGACGCAGCACTCTTGCCCTGGCCTTTGGTGAAGACCTGGGGGCGTTCACGGACTTGCTGAAACTGCTGATGTTGCTCGGGAGGAGGACCTGGCTCCGCTGCTGACGCTGAAGATCCCGAACTGGCCGCCGATGTCGCGGCTGGAGCAGCGCTGTCGCCGCCTGCTGCCGCAACTGGGCCGCCTTCTGGAGCATCATCCACACGCCGCTTTTTCTGAGCCAATCTGATCTTCTGGGACTCGTGTGCCTCGATCGCCTTCTGGACGTCTGCAATGGCTCCTGCAAATAGCTGTCGAGCCGTCTCCGTAAGCCTCTGCTGGAGTTCCCCGGCCCTGGTCTGGACCTCCTCTCGCTCCTCAGCCGTGTAGTCCACGCCCTCGGGAAGCTGGTCCAGCATGCCCAGATCGAACTGCAGCGCGTCAGTCTTGCCCGCAGCAAGGTCCTCCAGGCGCACCGTGGGAATACCAGCCGTCGACGGTGGAGACTCAGCTTGCTTGGAGCGGCCAGCCAATCGCGCCGCCAGGAGACGATGCTGCGCGTCCTTTGCGTTGAGCTCCTCTCGCAGGTTGGCGATGTATTCCTCCTGCTCCTCCATCTGCCGTTGTCACTTGTCATACTTATTGAGCTCCTTGTCCAGCTTGCGCAAGAGGCGGTCCTGCTCGCTTCGGGATCGGGCGAGCTGCTGCTCCAAGGCCTCCTCAGGATGAGGTGCTGCGGCAGCCGCCAGTGCTGTCTGACGGGCACGAACCCTGTTGACCATGTTGGTGTCTCCCGTCTTCTCAACGATGGCAAGCAACGCCGTGAGCTCGGAGCCGTCCAAGCTGGCGAGGCTGGTATTGACGATGGAGACGGCAGGCTGCCCAGGACCTGGTAAAACACCCACAGGCAAAGGACGTGTAGGTGGGGTCGGAATCGATTTCTTGTCTTCGGCCCAAGAACGCCACGACGGCCAGCTCCAGCCAGAAGCAGAGGTGGTCGATGAGCGCTCTGGGCCTGGAGGTCGCTCGGCATGACAATGCCTGCACCACTGCCAGTTCTGTTCATTGCGGCCGCATCCTCAACTCGTGCATTTCCATCCCGCTGTGGCGAGCGGGGCCTTGATCTTCTTGCGGTGCACGATGTGCCACGGCGCGAACTCATATGCCATGAGACTGTTGCAGGTGCCCAACTCCCGCAGGAAAGGCGAAGAAACTCGAGGTCTAGCCGCGGACTAGCGGTATCCGTTTTGGCCCCAAGGGAACCTGGCATCTTGAGCCAAAATGGCTTGAGCCAAAATGGCTACGGAGGAGGAGGAGGAGGAGGATAATGAGGAGGAGGACGGGGAGGAGGGGGAGGAGGAGACGGAGAAGGAGGAATAGGAGGAAGAGGAGAAGGAGCAGAGGAGGAAGAGGAGGAGGACGCGAAGGAGGAGGAGGACAGACAGAGGGGGAAGAGGAGGACAGACGAGGCGATGGATTCAATCAACATCAGTACAACGAAACGAAACGAGGATGAGTATGAGGATGAGGATAAGGATGATGATGAGGATGGGGATGCTGCTGATGATGATGTTGATGATGCTGATGATGTTGATGATGGCGCTGATGACGACGCTGATGATGATAACGCTGATGATGATGCTGATGATGGTGATGAGGATGATAGTGGTAATGGTAATGGTAATGATAGTGCATATGATAATGACCATGGTAATGAACATAATAATGGTATTGGTGCTGATAATGATGGTCATGATGATGAGGATGATGATGGCGGTGATGATGATGTTGATGCTGACGATGATGCTGATGATGATGCTGATGGCGGTGATGATGCTGCTGATGATGATACTGATGATGCTGATGATTATGATGATGATGATACTGCTGCTGATGATGATGATGGTGATGATTATGATGATGGTGATGATGATCATGAGGAGGAGGAGGAGGAGGAGGAGGAGGAGGAGAAGGAGGTTGAGGAGAAGGAAGAGAACGACGACGAGGACCTCCCTCCCCCTCCCGCCACTCCAGGAGCGGGGCGCGAGCGGGGCCTGTTGGCCCGGCGTGCCGAAGCAGGCCAGCCCGACGTCGTCCATCTTGTGCATCTGCCTCTCGAGGGGGCCATGTTGCGGTTGGCACTGGGAAGATGGCGTGCAGGAGCTATCTCCTAAACGCACGCTATCCCTGTGAGGCGATCCCCTCGCGAGGGCCCCGTTCATGTGCGAGCTATCCCCCCGTCAGGGCTTCTTCGGTGCACGCTGTCCCCAAGGTGGGGGGCAGCGAGTAGAAAGCGGGCCAACGGCGCCACGTTGCACAATACCTTCTCACCCTCAACCGCAGGTGGGGACCAGCTCAGGGGGGGAGACATCGACCCGGACTCGGCCATACCCCGCCGATGCATCGGCGGCAGGCCCCCCGGCAGCAACACTGCACGTTCCCGGGCGGGGTGGGCCAATCGGGCCCCGATCGGCGATCCATGAGCGATCGGGGTTTGACGCCTCTAGGAAGGCACCAACTATACACCAACACCGATCCTGGCCAGGATCACCCTGGGCCCAGGATCGGTGTATACGCCCTCCTGCCTTGGGCAAGAAGGCATATACACCGATCCTGGGCCCAGGGTGATCCTGGGCCAGGATCGGTGTTGGTGTATAGTTGGTGCCCTCCGAGCCTCCACCCCGAGCCGATCCCCCCCAAAAGTCGGCCCTGACAGTGGGCCACAAGGCTGCTGCCGTCAACTCGCGCGACGAGGCAACAGAACAGAATCGGGGATCGACCAGCTTTTGCTCTCCCTAAGATCCGGACGTTGCATGTTTGTTCGTACTGGACGTTTTCGCCCAATTTCGAGCCTCGGGACTCTCTCAGCTTGACCCGGCTGGAAAAATGCTGCAGAATGATTGGGTCTGGAGCTGTCGTTGTGATTTTTCGCTATCTTCTACGCGACGTCGGATCTCAGGGTCGTACGTTCCGCGAGAGTCCGCAGATCCAAGCGGCGCAAACAAATCGTGACAGTCCGCTTTTGGACGCTTTCGGTCTCCCAGCCACGGGGCCGTCAAGGAACGACGCAGGATGAAGGGCCGATCCCTGGCAAGAGGTCGAGGTGCCTCGGGGCTCGCGTCGCGGAAACACTGCGCCGTCGGAGGGGAGGGGAGAGCGGAGGCCTCCCGGGTGGGGTTCGACCCGGGCGGGGCCGGAGGGTCGGGCTGCCTCGCCGACGTGTTGGACGACTCGGTGGGGGGGCGCAGAGCAAGGCCAGTGTCGGGCGTGCTCTGTGGGCTGTTCTGCATACTGACTACCTACCAGACCACCCCAACCCAACCCGAAGACCCGAATTTGACCCGAATTTCGGGTTGGGGGGGGGACGGATACCATGTGTTTTTTCAACGTTCCCCGACCCCCCCCCCCACTGGAAATCGAGGATAAATTTGGGCCTTCGGGTTGGGTTGGGGTGGTTTGGTGGGTTGTTCTGCACACAGAGGTCTCCTCTCAAACGGGAGCCCACGCGGAAGCTGACGCGAATCCCTGCGCAGGCGGCTTGCGCGGCCACGTCGGTGCAATTGGCCCCTCTTGTTTTTTTGTGTTGCCCACTTGCCGAGCAGGAGCACCACTGGTCGAGCCAAGAGGTATTCTGAATTGGATTTTGCGCCGCACCCGAGACCGACAAATGGCACGCACAAGAGCGGTGAAAACCTCGTCTGAGCGGCAAATATCGGAGCATCACAAAAAATCCTATGAAGGATATTGTCACAGTGGCCCGACTCGCTAATCTGCAACCGTGCCTGCACGGATTGGGCGTGTCAGGATGCTGATCTGTTCTCTCGACAGATTTTCCATGTTTTCCAGAAAGCTGCCCCCCCCTGCTAGCGCGCATCGTTCTGGGATCGCCCCACGGAAATTGCTCTCTGGCGGGTTGTTCGAACTCCAGACGGCCAGGATGGCCTCCAAGACGGCTTCCACGACAGCCAAGATGACGCCCAAACGGCCCAAGACCAGTAAAGAGGCTCCCGAGGTGGCCTCAAGACAGCCCAAGAAGCAAAGCTCCAAGAGGCCTCACAATGAAACCTGAAGAGATATCCGGGCCACCACCATAACACCCTCCCCCCCTTGTAGAGGCCTCCCAGATGAGGTCCGAGTAGATGGAGTCGGAGGACCTCGCCGCATCGCCGATGCATCGGCGATGCATCGGCGACGTCGGCGGTGCATCGGCGACGACGGCGCGGAGAAAATCGGGCTCCACATCGAGCCGCATCGCCTATGCATCGGCGATGCGGCGCGGTCCCCCGACTCAATCTGCTCGGACCCCATCTGGGATGCCTAGAGTGTTGACAGAAGATGAGTGGGCAGGGAATCTGGGGAGATATCATGGCCCCTGCCACGATGCAGAAGGGCTGCTGAAATAAGGAATGCCAAATAAGGAACAGTGCCCCTTTTGGACGCCAACGGCGCCTGGGTGCACGAGGGCTAGAAAAACAACCACAGAATGACCCAACAAGGAACAGCGAGCCCCTTCCGGACCCAACACGTTCCTTACCTCAACGTCTTGACTGCCCCCCCCCCACCACTAGTCGGTCATCACCCCCGGCTGGGCCACCCCGATGTCGCACGGGGGCGGCGGGGCGTGCGGGAAAAACGGGCCCTGGACCCGGGACAGCCCTGCCCCCCCCCCGGGACGAGCTCCTCCTCCTCGGCCGCTCTCTGCCAGCCCCCGGGGGGGCCCGTGGAGGGCCCCGAGAGCCCGAGAGGAGCGAAGAATCTCAGGACCCGCTGACCTCGGCACCCGCCTCCCCAGGGGGGCTCCCAACTTCGCGCTTCGCGCCGCGCGAAGCGCGAAGTGCAAATAACTTCGAGCTCTCGCGGCGCCTCCCAGGGGAGAAGAGGAGGATGAGGAGGAATCGGAGCCGAACCGCGCAGCGCGAACCGCGAGTAACTTCGCGCCCTCGAGGGCGCCCTTGCTTACCCGCGGCGAGGCCTGGGCACCCCCGATCCGCCCTGGAGCCGGCCGGCCCGGCCTGCCAGTCCTCCGCTCCACCAGGGCAATGGCGCCCGCCAGCGTGGAGCAGAGGTAGGTGGACGTGGCCTCCGCCCCGGCGCGGCCGCCGCTCGGCGGCGCCGCGCGCCGCTCTCGGGGGGAGGGAGCAGGCAGAGCACGGTAAGAGCAGGAGCTTCCGGCGGAGGAGAGAGGGCAGGTGGGAGAGAGGAGGGAGGAGGAGGAGGATGAGGAGGAGGAGGAGGAGGATGAGGAGGAGGAGGGGGAGGAGGAGGAGGGGGAGGAGGAGGAGGAGAAGGGAGGGAATGATGATGATGATATGATGATGATGATGATGATGATGATGATGATGATGATGAGATGATGATGATGATGATGATGATGATGATGATGATGATGATGATGATGATGATGATGATGAGGATGAGGAGGAGGAGGAGGAGGAGGAGGAGGAGGATGAGGAGGAGGAGGAGGAGGAGGAGGAGGAGGAGTGAACAGGAGGAGGGCACCAGTCGAGCAGCGTCGAACGAACGCTCCTGCTCCTCATCCTACTTACGAGGACGAAAAAGCTTGAAAAAGCCTTGGTCGCCTGACTTCGCGCATCGCGTCCCACGATGCGCGCCTATCTTCGCGCCCTCGTGCCGCCCCCTTGGAGAAGGGCAACCGCTCTGGCCCAGACCGCGATGAGCAAAACGGCCGAGAAAGAAACCAAGAGATACCGATTCCGCGACCCCCTGGACCTCTCCCAGGGTGCACTCTAACCAAAAATTCGAAACGAGTCCAGCAGTGACCACGTGGGCATCCCAGGAGGCCCGAAAAGGCGGAAATGAGGCAAGAGTAGCGGTATCTCAACTGTTCCTCTCTCTGAGCCTAGCTCCTCCTTCTAACTACTACCGAAGAAAAATACACAAACGGCTTACACTTGGGGGTCCCAAAGCCGTGTGGTGGCAGTCCGCACGGTGACCTCAGAACCCTAAGAAACCTCACCGCACGGTCCGCCACCGAAGGGTCTTGGGACCGCGGAGGCCTGGTCACCCGAAACGTCCTCGGAGAACGATTCGAGGCCCGAAACCGTGGGGTGACCCCGAATTCCCACCTGACTCACTACTTTCGGCGGCGACGATAGAAAGGCGAATAGCCCAGGGGCGGGCATTACACGTATTCGCCCGGGAGCCGGGTAGAAGACATAGATCATCGGCACCCCTGGATACATGTACTGCTCCCCCCTGGGCTATTCGCCCCTATCGTCGCCTCCGATACTTTTTTGGGTCAGCTGCCGCCAGAGAACAAGCGGCGGTCAGTGCAGTGGGCACACTCAATACATCTCCGACTGCGAGACTGTGCGTCGTGATTGGGAGAGACGGCTGCATCTTCGACCATCAGGTGTTGACGCAGATCTATGGGCAATGATTGAACAGGAGTGAAAAACCAAAGACCCACAGTTGATCGACGTCTCTTTGTTCACTCACATCGGGGCCCGGAGGATATGATGGCAGGGAGAGTACCATCTTGGCAGATGTTGGGCCTTGCAGTGATTGACGAGATTGCAAGCCAGGCGACTCACGAAATGTGTCTAGCAACAGATGTTCAGTTTCGGATTCTTCAGCTCGAGCGTGACGCGTATCGTGTACGGCGTCGGCTCCCACGTGCAACTCTTGACAGTGATGGCGCGGGCGCAGGACCCACGGGAGCAGTGAGAGGCAAGCGTGCTCACTCCTCCCCGATCCCTCCTCCGCCAGCACCGCCTGCAGCGGCTAATGTTTCGACTTCCCACGTTTTGGAAGAGTGTGGCCGAGTGTGGCCGCTGATGTTTCAGGTGCGTCGGGACCTCGACCCTGGCGACCGCGGGCCTCTGGAAGGCCAGCCAGCGCTTTCACCCTTTAAACCTGACTGGATCGCTTCACGTCCTCGGGGTTCGCGGCCGTGTTCACATAGGGGGGGGGGACTGGGTCCTTAAGAGCCATAGCGTGATCTTGTGTACTAAAGTACGCCTCTGGTGCTGTGGTGCCTGCAATCGTTTTGCCAATAAGCGATCCTGCAATCCACATCGGGAATGCGATTTGA